CCAGAAAACCGTGGATGCAAAAAGCTGAAGATGATGTTCTTGCCAGGGTTTCTGGTTTGGAAAGGGTTTGGGGTTTTACGTGCTTCTAAGTTTTAGGGTTTATATATTATATATAGGGGGTTTAAGGTTTAGAAAGGGTTCGGGGTTTTAGGTGCTTGTAGGGTTTAAGGTTTATAGGGTTGCGTTTTTCGTGTTTTGTTTTTTTGTCTTCCACTGACAGCCATTCCAGGCTTTTACAGCTTCTGCAAGCTACAGTGGGGTTCTGAGCCTGAATGGTTTCGGTTCTGTTGTGTTTTCTATTAAAGGTTTTTGGGGTATAATCTAGCGCTTTCGAGGGTCAGCCTGTGCAGGCTACTTTCTGCAGCTTTTGAAAGCTACCACCGCTCAGCCTGTGCAGGCTTTCACCTGGTGTAAAGCTAGGAAGCCAAGCCCGCAAAGCTAAGTTTGAAACACTCCAATGTGGAAGGTCTTGGCCCAAGATGAAGAGGGGCCCTGGGGAGGAGCAGTACTGGTCGGACCTGGAGAAGGCTTGAACAACCCCCAACCCTGGCCACGGCTAAACCCTAAACCCTAAACCCTATAAACCATAAACCCTAAACCCTGAACCCTAAACCTGGCCCCCTATAAACTCCACAACATGGGCAGGAATGGCATGAGTTCCAGCGGCAGCGGCGAGCCAGGAGACAGGCGGAGGCGGAGGCCAAAGGGGCTGTAGACGGGCTTGCCTATGGTTTAATTATATAGGGGGTTATATAGGGTTGAGGGGTCGTATGGGGTCATATAGGTTAGTGTAAGGGCTTTTGCAAGCCATTCGGTCTTTTGTGCCCCTGGAAGGTGACGTCGCAGCAGCAGCCGGGTCGGAGTTCAGCGGACTCTGGTGCCGAGGCACCAGACAGAGATAGATAGGGTTGGTTCCATATAGGACGGGTTTTTCGAGCTTTGGCCATGCAGGCCAAAGCAGTGCCGGCTGCTGGCCCTGGTGGTGGCATGCAGGCCAAAGCAGTGCCGGCTGGTGGCCCTGGTGGTGGCTCCGAGGTGCATGTTTAGGGTTTATATAAGGTTTTAGGCGGGCTTAGTTTTCGAACACAGATATAGCCGGCATGTGTATGCCCGAAGAAGCCTTTGAAGGCTACAGCCTGTAGAGGCTCCTTTGACAGCATAAACCCTAAGCCCCAAACCTTCAACCCTATAAACCACCAAGCTTAACACCCCTAAAACCCCAAACCCCAAACCCTCAACCTTATAAACCACGAACCTTAACACTAAACCTAGAACCCTAAACCCGAAACCCTAGCACTAAAACCTTAACCCTGCAGGTGGACAATCAGGACTGGCGGGGCATCCCTTCACTGGCGGAGGCGATGGCGAGGGCAGTTGCCGAGCCTCCGGCACCTGCCGAGCCGAAGCAGGACGGGCCTATGTAGATCTTTAGGGTTCTAGGCTACATAGATAAACTTATAAGGCCTGTAGAGGCCAAAGCCCTTGCAGGCTGCATGTTCATGTGTATGTACCTATGGGTTTAGGGTTTAGGGTTTAGGGTGTGTGTATGTATATATATATATATAGGTACATATAGGTGCATGTGTATCTATACATGTACTTAGACAGACACATGGACATCCCAACCCTAAAACCCTAAACCCTGAACCCGCCACCCCAAACCCCTAAACCCTGAAAGGCGCCGTGGAAGGTGCTGGCTCCTTTGCCACCAAGGCCGAAGGTGGCATTGCCGAAGCCGCCGGTGGCGAAGGCGGTGGAGGCAGTGCTGCCGAAGACGGTGGAGGCGAAGGCGGTGAAGGCAGTGCAGCCGAAGGTGGAGGCAGTGCAGCCGAAGGCGGCGAAGGCAGTGCCGCCGAAGGAGGAGGCAGTGCCGCCGAAGGTGGAGGCCGTGCCGCCGAAGATGGTGGAGGCAGTGCCGCCGAAGATGGAGGAGGCAGTGCCGCCGAAGGCGATGGAGGAGGCAGTGCCGCCGAAGGCGAAGGTGGAGGCAGTGCCGCCGAAGGCTCAGGAGGCAGTGCCGAAGCCCAAGGTGGCGCCAGCTCGACCTGAGTCAGCTTCTCTGCTGTTTGTGAAGCACATAGAAACTTTAGGGTTTAGGGGTATAGGTAGTTTGTGGTGGGGGTTTTGGGGTTTTGGGGTCCGACTTTAGGAGCCAAGCTTTAAAGCTACGAGTTCGGCTCGTATAGTGCAGTCTTGCCAAGGAGTGGCCAAAAAACGAGCTCCTGGCGGCGAAGGAGGAGGCCGAGTGGTACAAGCAGGCCTCTGGTGTTGGGTCGTCTCGTGATGTCAAGACGGAGCAGGAGACGACGGAGGAGGCAGTTGCATCAATTTAACGGGGTTTGGTGTTTGTAAGGTTTTTATTATGTACCTGGGTTTGTGGTTTGTAGGTGTTCAAGTGTTATTTAGGATAGTCGTTGTGGGCTTAGACTCTTGGCTTTTGTAAGCCTTTGTGTATAGGTCTGGGATGGCAAGTGTTCTTTAGGAGGGTGGTTGTGGGCTTAGACTCGTGGCGATTGTAAGCCTTTATATATAATCGGGTCGGAACCCGAGCCCATGCAGGACCAGGTCTACTGGCAGAAGGACGAGCACGATCCGGATCTTTGGTGGAAGTGGTCGCAGAAGCGAGGCTGGCAACGGTGGAAGGAACCCGCGACTCGTTCGGAGACTTCCAGGAAGCCTTCTTTGTTGTTGGGTCCTTGAATTGGAACCACTACAGAAACCTTAAGCCCCAAACCCTAAACACGAAACCCTTAATCCCGAAACCCTTAAAAACCCGAAACCCTGAACCCCAAGGCAACTGCTGATGGCTCTTCGAGGAAGGGCTGGCTCACCAAGATGGGAGTGGTCCTTCACAAGAGGTCTCTTGGCGAGAAGGTGGACCACATCCTGGACAGGTTTGCCGAGCACCCGTCCATGGTGCCTTTTCTGCGAAAGCTGGACCGGGACTATGCCACCGAGGGCGAACGATGCTACCGGCACTGGCTGTGAGGGGTGAAAAAAAGAGAAGCCCTGGGTTGGCTAAGGTTTGGGTTCAGGGCTTTAGGGTTCGGGGTTGTTCCAGTTGTTGTCTAGGCTTGGAGGTTCTAGCGCTGTAGAGGGTTCCTAGTGCAAAAGCCTCTACAGGCTGCCTAAGCCGTAGCCTTTAAAGGCTTCCCAGCCTGTACAGGCTTTCGTTGCCCCCACAGAAGCCCAGAGCCTTTACAGGCTTCGGTTCAGGGTCTTAGGGTTTCGGGTTGTTCCAGTGGTCGTTTCTAGGCTTCAGGCGGTGGTTGCATTGCTTGAGAGGATTGCTGTTGCAAGAGCCTGTACAGGCTACCTAAGCTTTAGCCTTTGGAGGCTTCATAGCCTGTACAGGCTTTGGCTTCCCTAACCAAACCCAATCCCCCAAACCCTAAACCCCAAACCCTCAACCCTCAACCCTAAACCCCTAAACCCAGAACCCTAAACACCAAACCGTGTGACACACAGACACAGCAGGAACATGTGGACTTCATCATGTAGTTCATAGAACAATATCAAGCCCCAAGCACTCACACCCAGCACCACCAGACCTACCCCAACTGAACCACCCAAGGACGACATTATAAACAGGAACTTAACTTGGGCTAAAGCATTAAATTAACTACATCAATGTGTATGCTATAACATGCTCCGGGCACAATATATACATAGAATATGTACATAATCTGCATATATGCAACCAAGGATCAAGGCCAAATAATGAAAATTGAAATATTAATATCAATCTGAATTTTAAAATTGATATTAAAGCTTACAGGATTTCATTTTGAAATTTCAAATTGAAATATTTTTGAATTCCATTTCATTTTGAAAATTCATATTGAAATCTGAATGGGCCACATTTCATTTTGAAAATTCAAATTGAAATCCGGCTGGGCCACTTTTCATTTTGAAAACTCAAATTGAAATCTGGCTGGGCCAATTTTCATTTTGAAAATTCAAATTGAAATCCGGCTGGGCCACTTTTCATTTTGAAAATTCAAATTGAAATCCTGTCGGGCTGTATTTCATTTTGAAAATTCAAATTGAGTTTTTTATAAATCAAATTAGCACCAATGCTTGCACACTGAAAAGATTCCTTACTGCAATGTACCACTGCATCACACATCATGGTTCGGATCGTTCGTTTCCAAAGCATAAAAATTTCAAGGCTGCAAAAAGTCTGCTGTGTTTTAAAAGGTTGTGTGTACATGAATGTGTGCATTCCGGTACAGGCATCTACACTGCATGAACACAGCCAAGCCATCATGCAACCCTAAACCCTGACACTAAACCCTAAACCCTAACCCCTGAAATCTAAACCCTAAAACATAAACCCCAAACCCTGCAACCCTAAACCCTCACACTAAACCCTAAACCCTAAACCCTCACATCTAGACCCTAAACCCTAAACCCCAAAACATGCAACCTAAACCCTGAACCCTGAAACCTAAACCCTCAACACTACACCCTGAACCCTACAGACCCTTATAACCCTGAACATTAAACCCCTAGACCGTCTTGTTGCTGCAACATGTTCTGGATGTTACAGTGCACAATAATTCACGACTGCTGAACAAGGTTTGCAGGGTTCTATTCTTTGGCACAACCACTACCTAGACACACCTTGTGTCGTCTCCCATTCTAAACCCTGAACCCAAACCTGCAGCCCTGCAACAATGTCCTGCAAAATGCTGATGTACTATTGCTATATGCTAACAACCCCATCACCTAAACCCCATGCTTCAGAACTACACCCTAAATACTAAACCCGACCTTGTCCCAGAACATTCAATTTGAACAATTTAATACCAGTTCATCTGTGGAGGACGACATTGTTTACTTTTCACATTATGGGCTTCGTGCGATTAAGCCAGCTTGCTTGGCATGGCCAATGTCTTGCTTGTTTTTGCGAGAAGCTACCTAGAATTATTTGGCATGCCACTACATCTGTTGATGTCCCTCATCACACTAGACCGGCATAGCCATTATGTATTACACACACACACATCTAGCAGCAAAGCATCGTCGAATGTAATCAGACTACGGACAGCCAATCGTGCATTTTGCTTCCTGTCTGAATAGTCGATGCATGAAAAGTGGAACGGGCAGCTAGGACAGTGGTCCCTTGCTGAAAACAATACCATGCGATGTGCAATGCTTATAGTCCTATACGACAACAAGCATTGACCATGCTTCTATATAAGAATGCATGACATTATCTCAAGCATTGTCTTTGACGACATTTCCACATACAACTGTTTCCTGCAGCTTCTGAGACTTGGTCTCACTGCAGCAATGCCCTCTGGGAATTAAAGTAAGCTTGCAAAGGCAGGAACATATATATGTATGAGAGAGGCACCTTTAGGGTCTATTTCACGCTTTCCCATTCTGCCTCTATGCTTTATTAATTAATAATTATTTAATTTATTGGAATCATTTAAATTATTTAAATGGGGGGGGTTGGTGGCCCCCCTCCCAATTATTTAAATTATTTAAAATATTTTCGGGCCCCGGGGACCGAAAATAATTTAAATAAT